TATCCATCCTGCTCCAAGCGGTATGTAGTGGCAAGTGGACGTGGCTGTCAAAGAGATCAGAGTAGTAGTCGTGGGTGACCCTTTCCATTGCCTTTCAGGATGCAGTGGTTGCTCCGTCCAGAGGCCGTAAGCTGTGATCTCGTTCTTGTAGTTGGCGGAGTCGCGGCGGGCTTAGCGAATGCTCTTCCCAATTTCCACCAGTACTGCTGCTTTTCGCTTCATGAGTTCCTCTTTCATGGCTTCACTGCATAGCTTCGCAAGCTCGGTCTCAGCTGGTACGGCTTGTGGGGCTCCTCGTTAGCTGATCAGCATGAGTGTCCAGAGATAGACGCTGACTGGCAACCTGGGAGCTCTCTGACTTTTTAGTGCAGTCGTGAAGATGTCCAACGAGCCTCTTGTATTACGCTTCGATGTTGTCTGTGAAGGATTTCTTCCAGAGCACAGCGAGAGGCGTGGAGTGGTCAAACTGATAACACTCTCGCGACTTCGCTTCTTGAACTCTGCGGCTCTCTCTCCCAGCATTGGAACCTTGTCGAATCCCGTGTAGGACTAAGGAACAACAGCGACACCGGTCCGGCAAAATCCTCGATTGAAGATGATGTGGTCGATTTCGTCACGAAATTGTCCACTAGGAGATTCCCATGTCCAGCGTGGTGAGCAGGGCTTCTGGAAATGCGAGTTACCATAGATAGTATGGGTCAACGTGATCAAATCGACAGCCTTTCAATCGCTCATTCCGACATGCCGTGAACTCCGATGTGAAGCTCTGCAGCCGTTCATCTGAGTCCGATCTAGCCTCAAAATCGTTGACGATGACCTGGAAGAAGGTATGGTCTACCTTGTGGAACTGCTCCAATTCCATGTGGAATTGTTTTGAGCTCATCCTCGTCGTAGCTTGATGTTGGTGCGTAGGCGACGAAGATTGTCAAAGCCGGAGTTGAACCACATCTTCTCAATCGCAAACGTCCGATTCGGGTCGTCAGATTTTCGTACGAATCGATGTTCATGGCCAAGTGCGTGTTGACGGGGGCACCCACGCCTCTACTGTCGCAGATTCCGAGAACAATTTTTCTCCAGTTTCCTCCGGTGGGCAATGCCTTCTCGTGCGGGTCGGTTCGATGACGTCGTACTTGATCGTTTTGGCTTGCATCATCTGATCTTCGATATGAGCTTGCAAGTGTCGGTGCGATGAATGTGCAGATCGTCATCTTAGTCACTGGGCAGCTTGATTTTCTGTTGGCCTTGAGATTCTCTCCCGAGCGGTCCCAACTAACGCAGCACTGTCGGTGGTTCCCTCAGGTTTAATGACCACCGACATGAGGCGTTGGTTGGGACCGACAAATGGGATCGACAAATGAATTGACTACGCGTAGCCTTCCAGGCTCTAATATGGTACCTTCCGCATTGGCCGATTAAGCAACCGTTACACGCCACGCCACGTTGAGGCTGCGGATAGGATCTGTGAGGGACTCTACCGTCTACCCCATTTTTATTGATTTCAATCTGAGGGTACGTCTGACCGTTCCATATAGCTCATCTCGTCCTTGCATGGGAGTGTTCACGGAAGCAGCTATGAGAACGGCGGCTATGATACTCACTCAGTCGGGTAGAGATAAAGGCAGCGTGTACATAAGAGAGCGCATACGGTACAGTACAAGATCACGATAGTGCACCTCTCAACTCTCTGCCTGAATCGAGAGCTTTACACAGATACGTAGTCGTCATCGCGCTCACAACGAACCGCATGGACACTCCGCTGCAATGTCGAGAAATGGACTGTAGCTGGTTGGTCTCGAGGGTACCATCCCACTGCTGTCCTACATTACAGCCGCACTGTTTGGAACGCTTACCAATTTAACACTTACGTAATCGCTAGCCTCCTTTCCGGTCGCCGATTGACGGCCTAACGCATAGAACTTGTCTCCTGAATTTTTAGAATGATTAACCGTTGCTTTCCTAGCTGAGGTCCCGAGAACCATTACTAAAAGTTTTTTTGTCATCTCCCTCCCCCATACACTACGATTTATAGCTCATAATTGCAGAGAGCCTACAACGACAGCACAAGGTTATACTCAAAAACGCGGCCACTGGAGTAATGAAGTTGAATTTCTACTAGCTGTTGTTGGTCTCACCGTCGGATTAGGAAGTGTTTGGAGATTCCCTTCATTAGCATATAATAATGGAGGAAGTACGTGTTTGTATTTTTTCGCTCTACTTTTCTAAATGGGTTTGAGTTAGGACAGGCGCGGCCAGCAACGCCGCATGGGACACCTTTACACCGTACTATGAGGCCGCAATCGTCTATACACCGTTTCTTATAAGGCTATTGAATCTGTAAACAAGCAGAGATAAAACGAAACAAAAGAAAAAGACAATATTTTCCTGTTCGAACTGTCACTCAGCGATGAATAAGCCTTAGGATGTTAAATAGTTAAAGCCAAGCAGTTGTTTGTTGCCAAGCTCTCGAAAAGTATACTGTAGTTCGCTGCGGACGGTTGGGCGTGTCAGTGCGGCTGCGTTTGGCGCGGTGCCAAACTCGTTCTCCACCAGTTGTTGCAAGTGACAATACTGTATCATATCCTTCGTATTACTCGTTTTCTACCACTTTTTGTCGCATGCGCTCTTCAACAAGAAGGCAGAGGGCTCTGATAGGGTGACACACTCATACTGGCTGACACGCCCAACCGTCCGCAGAGAACTAGAGTGTATTCTGGAACATCCCATTGATGAGAATGACCTACGACGTGCATATATCACTACTGTCGTGATACTGCGTCACGACAATGGCAGAGAAAATCGTTCTTGATTGCAAGCAGGTTCGACTGCTTACACTTTACGAACTCAGAACCAAGCAATGCAAGAGTCTACGTAAAAACATATGTATTGATCATACCAAGAAGCAAAGGTTCGGTTCAGAAAGATGTAAAAAAGGGTTTTGATTTGGAGGAGCAACCGCAGTCAGGAACTATAACAAAGGTGCATATGGTTGTTCTTTCTTAAATGTATTGAAAGGCAAAACAGAAGTGGTGGGAAACTTTCTAAACAACCTATTAGAAGACATCATATGGCAAGGGTCATTCGAGGCACAATCACCTCATCAATTGACCCGCAGGCACTGTTCAGCACTTCATCGGTGACCGGGCGTGTAACTGAGCTCATAAAGCCAACTCAATGGGAATATACACTCCTAATTGGCAAAAGGGGCCTTCTATTCTCTCTAAACTCTCCCAAACTAGTGGCGAGCACCGATTGATACTAGACTGTGTGAAGGTGGCGCCTACCTTCCCGTTACCCTCACTCTCTTTCTCTCATAACGCAAGCGGGCGGCACTCATCCAATACCCGTCTCCATAGCATTGGAGCGCCCATGCAGTGGTGGCACTTCGACGCGCATCACACTGCATTACAGCGCGTCGTCGCGAAGCATGAAAGCTGCCTCAAACAGCGCGACAAAGTGTCATGAGATCGCCATAAGTCGTCACTGACATACATACATATAAGTGATTGCGACCCCAAAGTACAACTCGAACCCCAGCCAGCATTACTGCGGTGCAATCGAGTTGAATGTAAACTCTGTCTTGTCAGGCGCATTCCTGATCCCGTTCCTCATCTGCGCTGTACTAGTTGGTCAACCTATGATGTACTTGGAAATGATTGTTGGTCAATATACACACACAGGACCATCCATGGTCTTTCGTCATTATGCACCAGCCGTGCAAGGTTAGTACCACGCTTGAACTAAAACAGCAGAACAAAGTGGTTCTCAGCACTGAAATCCACTTTTCCACATGTGTGTTCCCTGAGAAAATCAGATATAGTAACTCAGCAGTACGAAACCAGGAACCCGAAAATA